AATTTATGTTGAGTAAGGCAACAGCGAGCCCACCCCCAGCTTGCTTCGCAAGGAAGCCTCGGTAATGTTTCAAGTGGCTTGTCTGTTGTTAATTTACCCCGGTGGGGCCTTGATGGGGGTCTGTCTACCCGCCGCCACGCTCCACTCGTTACGATAAATCGGTCATTATCTGTACTACCTACGCGCCATGTAAGTGCCGCGACTTGGGACTATGCCGACGTGCCGTTGGAAATTTTCGATCCGCCTGGGAAGGCTGACAAGTCATCGTGTTATAGCGATTAATCGCGCAGCATGTTGGAGGAGGCAACCGTAAGACGAGATTTCTTGTAGCGCGATGACAGTCGCATTGCTCTCGATTTATTAGAATAAGCGAAACATATATTTGTTGTTTCTTTTTTAATCCTACTAATCCTCGCCACTTCTCATATTTATAACTTTTGTGTGTGTGTGTGTGTGTGTGTGCTCCAATTTATATAATACTCAGTTTACATACTATGTCGCTTGTTGAAAAATGAAACGCACGTTATTCATTCAGCTATTGAGGTTGTCAACAATTTTTGACATTTTGACTCGACTGCTGTCCATGCAAGCGAAACGGTCGTAAACACATACGAAGCAAGAGGAGACGAACCCTTTTCCGCGTATCCTCGCACCCTTTCGCGCCGAGGCAGGCCGACTCGGGTGGAACATTAATATCGCGAAATGAAGCTCATTTGCATATAAATAAGGCGGTGGTGGGGCACAGGGACGGGGCGAGGGAAACCAGGATGAACCACCCCGTTGCTCCCCCGCTGCAACCCCTTCTTTTACCCTCCCTTATACCCCCGAGCCTCGACTCCCAGGAACCCCACCCTGGACTAATTACACTTACAGACAAAGCGGCCTGAACCGAGGGGTCGAGCGGATTCTATCTCTTACTCTCTCCTTCCCTCTCTTTCCCACTCGTGCTTCCCGTCTTTCTCCTCTATGACTATCTTCATGATTCTCTCTCTTCCAAACTGTCTCTGTCTACCTTCCTCTAGTCTATCTGTCTCTGTTCTGTCCTTTCCGTATAGAGAGCAGACCCTCTCTGCCACTGTCTCGCTGGGTTTCCACTCCCGATAACACCCTTTCGCAATGACCACGTGATAATTGCGACCCCCACAGGATTCGTTAGAGTCCTTAATCGTGAAGGAAATTCATCGTCCTCTTGCCTTTTTATGCCTTCTTGTGACGTATTGAATGATTATTGTACAATTATTGATCTTGATTGATTGCATGATAATTATTGACACGTAAACACATATAAATAAAACATACGAAATTTAAATCAAATTACAATACAGCTTTAAACTATTTGAATATATTTACAAGCGATGTTTGTTGCATACTTTATCGACAGAATCACTCAATCAAATGGTTTAAACGCTTGAAACAATTTGTGAGATTCAAATCAAGTTAAACATAATCGCTGACTTTGGATTTTTAGAAATACATACAACATCCATAGTTATATACCTCAATTTTAGTGACATTCTTTTCTATTTATAATTCAGCAGAGATATATTTATATTTTTCGTTTTATCCGATGTATTAATGTTGTCAAAATTACAATTCGCAATTTGTGTGACAACTTATAAAAATCTCTATATATAGCTCACTTGTATTTGTACTTTTGACTACGAGTAAAGCTCTCATATATAGTTTTTCCTGCCAAAAAGTCGTTCAATTTTCATAACGACTAACGGTACCCCGCTCGACAAATCGATCGCCAGAGGCAGGAACAGCCACAGCCGAAGATGGGATGAAACCAGCACGATGCGGGCGGCGCGGCGCGGCGCGGCGCCGCGTTTCAGAAAGAAACATAAAAATGCGTATTACCGATTCCGGAATACGGCCATTAGTCTGAAGTCAGCGCGGCTATCGTTTATTAAGCGCAAACAGATATTAATGTATTTTTACACGCGCCCACCAGTTTTGTTCTACCAGCCGCTGCCGTCGCCACCGCCGACGCCGCCGACGCCGCCCGACGCCGCCGACGCCAAACTACAGCACGGTCCGCGCGGGGTCGAAGCCAAATCCAATTACTTTTATTCGGGCGAAATGAGTGCAGCTAAGTCATTAATACTAATCAATGGACCGGACTCGGACCAGCCAGCTAGAGCGCACAGGCCCGGGCGCTCCACAGGAATTACCCATAACTCAAACGGCTCGAAATGACTTTATTGCAAAAAACTTGCGCTTTGCTACCAGCCGCGCCGCTTCTCTTCGTATACGCATTGTTAGAGACCCCCGTGCCGATAAGTAATGTTTATTGTTGCATTTCCAACGACCAACCGAACGCTCTCCGCCCTCTTTCCTCTGCCCTGTGTATTTTTTTCGCGCCTCCCACTGGCCGTTCGCGTTCGCCGTCCGCCCCATTCGCGGGAGGGAGAGGATCCAGCTCGGTTTTTTGCATTAGCGAGATGGCTTATGGATGCGAAATAACGATTTTTTATCGATCATATGACTGATTTCTCTCTGGGAATTTAAAGCGTTGCTGTTGGTGGAAACAATTGCATAGGCGGCACGACCGCTTCTTTTGTTCGACGTGCTCGAATAATAAATAGATTATATCTCGAGATGTGAAGTACAAGGAATCGTAGGCACTAGTGACAATTCAAAACTTATAGTCTTAGTATAACTGTAAATGGGTCTTAGATCAAAATAGGTTTTAATATAATTATAAATGTTTGTTTCATTCTCCCTGCATAAAAACACATGTTTGTATTAGCAATTAGGGGAGAAATATAGGAATGTACAAAAGCAGAAAAAACCTTTGAAGTTGCTTTTGAAAACTATTTATTAAAAAAAAATTATTTAATGCGTTCTTTTTCTTGTTGAAATCGTATCAATAATATAGACACCTTAATATCTGTTTTTCCATATATAACAATATTTGTCTCCACATACAAATAACTATTTGGCAAGTTTTAGCAAAGTCGACGATCTCGTATAACCAAGTTGTTTCATACGTTGCAGTGCTGCAGCACTGATTAATTTATGCGAAATACCGGAAGCTCGTAAACATATGTTTCTACGCTTGGTTGTATATCGCGTGCACTTTTACAAGCAAAATGGTCGAACCTGTGCATTCAACTAATCCTCCTCGCCTCGTCCATTTAATATAGGGTGGCTATACTGGTGGTATAGCCGTTTACGAATTTGCGTGGAAAAAAAATTGAACTGCCATACCCTCTGCGCCTCCTATTTTCGTTCGTTACCTATCGACCAGGCTTTATCTATTTTTTATGCAATGAAATGCCTCGACCAGCGACGCGTACGGCCCATTGTGCGACTTTGACGAAAATTCAAGCCGGGATTACAAGCCGCACCCAGAGGATACCCCTTTTAAAAAAAAGCTGAATATACTGAGACTTCGACAGTACAATTAATATGATATTTACGATGGTTATTTGGCTGAAAAAAAACTTTTTCGTTTTACAATCTTTTCTTCTTAAAAAAAAATTATGAACGAAATAATTATGTAATTTTCAACAATAACTCGATGTGTGTTGTTGTTGTTGTTATCTTTAAATATCATTAATATATTTTTCACCGATACTATATAAATTGCGTAAAACTTCTTTTGACATTTATACCAATTCGTCTAGTCAAAGTAGTTATACGTCTAAGGTGATAACCACCGCAGAAGCTCTTCTAGGATTTATTCATGGGTCCAGTTATCCGCGCGGGAACTCTTTTTCCCGAATTACTCGAGTGTCGAAGCTCTAAAACGCTTAATCTGTATCCAACTATGGCGATACACGTTCCGGCATATTTCCATACCATTATGCAAAGAGGCCGCACCGGTAACATTACTCTCCACGGCACAGCCACCACCACCGTCGATATACACTCGTGGTGGTAAAGCATTACGGCATATATACTCCATCGATTTATTATAATTTAGATTGTCTTCTAAGAACCTCGACTACACGTGCACACGTACGTATATACGGCACGCCTTAATGTGCCGGCGTTCGTTAATTATTCCGCTAGTATTCCGTAAATATGCATGAATTATATATCTGCAGGCACGAAAGCGGAGCAACCGGGAAACGCGTGATTAATATATTTTTTTCGCGCGGCAATTCACGCCTTCTCGTATAATCTTTCACGGTTGTTTGTCGATGAAAATTTTCGGAAGTCATGATACACCGTATGTCGCGCGGTCCTGCCAAATTGGTATTGATTAAATCGGACGGTCGGCTCGGCCGACCAAGTTAATTCCAAAAATGTGTTATTGAGCGTGAATAACTAAATCACTTTGCCCGCACGCATTGCTGGATTATGTTTATGGACAAGGATCGGCATCGCGATAATACAGGCGAGCTCAATTTTCATTGCCACGCGTAAGTGATATTGAAATTAATATTCGACAGTGATCACCGATCGTGTCGTAAGACTCGTTGGTTTACGTGTATTATATTACAATAATTATCGTCATTAATTTACTGTCATTGTTTTTTCTCACCTCTACCGATATGAAATGGAATATTTTAATATGTATCATTTATGTAGAATGTGAATGATTATTAATCTATTTTCGACGTTAAACGCACCACCGCAATAAAAAGCATCACACACGTTAACGAACCACGCGCGTATAATTAAATGTTTTGGTCATTTTGGAAATGACTGTTAACTCGTATTAAAACCTTTGCGTCGCGGCGTCGCTGTTCAATTGATTTTCATGAGAGAATGATACATAACATTTTATATTAAAAACTCAAAAAGATGTTTGATCTCTTAGTAAAGCTGCGTATTAGTAGAATAATACATATTTAATTAGCGTTATTATTATTATTACCTACTATTATTGGATAGTATAGTATAATTCCATTCAATGCAATTTCTCGTGACCGTTGTTCGATCTCGTACAAATCGAAGGTGATTGAATTTCAATCTGGCGTGTGATTATATATCTATTGTACACGTGTATATATATATATATATATATATATATATATTTGTTACAGGACAGCGACAGGAGTAGCGCTGGAAGTCCCGAACCGGCGACAGGTGGTGCACTTCACGAACACCAAATGATGATAGATGATATAAAGAATTCACGAAAGAGGCGACGGAGTCCGTCACCTGAAAATCTTCATCAAGCGAAACGTGCGGCGGTAGCACAAGCTCACTTAAATGGAACGAGTAAGTATGAGAAACTGTCCCTTTACAGACACAAAGCTTGTATATACGATCTCAATTGTTTTCTTACTATTGGAATTTTGTGCATAGTGGCCGGTATGGTGACACTTCAAAATCTTCAGAATTTAGCGAATTTGCAAAATCTCCCACAAGTTGCGTCACTGGCTGCCGGTCTTCAAGGAATGACAGCGGGATTAACTAATAATCAGCTGATCAATACTCCGTTGAATTTAACCGTCAGCTCGTCAGGTAAGAAACGTGAAATCGAGTTTTTTCTAGTGAATCTAAATAGAAAAAACGCAAGCAACTCTGAGATCGGAGGATCAAGGACCAAGAATCAGATGACAAGAATAGTCTAACGTGATGAAATCATTAATTTTTATTCCTAGGCGGAACGGTACCAACAGCCTCGAGTACGACAGCAGCTCCCCACCTTTTGCCACCTAGCTCAGCCCCAATGGCAACGTTACCTCAGCTATTATCTCAACCACAACCGGTCGCGATGCCTCAATTCATCCTAACGTCCGGTCAATTGGTTCAGGGCATTCAAGGAGCTCAGCTTCTTATCCCCACTTCGCAAGGTAAGTTACATTAGCATTCTATAATTTCAGCATTTTTCAAACATGAATGGTTCCCTTTTTCGCCGTCTTATATCTAACGTCATAGTATTGATCGTGATTGCTAACAAATAATCTATGTGATTATAATCGAAATTTCAATCAGTCAAAATTCCATCGACGGTTGCCACGCATAAAATTATCGCGCGTTCGCTGAACGGAACACGGCGCTGTGCTGGCGCATAATGTTGTGCAATCAAGATGTGCCGATATATAATATAATATCGACTATCTCTGACCAGAGCTCGGACTAAGGCTTGCCCGTCGTCCATACTTAGTGGTCCTAGACTGCCTCGCCGAGCACAGGGCAAACTCTGCAACTAATTTCAATGTATAATTAACGTCTCACTACCCCTCTCCAACCTCACGAATCCCATCCCATCCTGCCTCCTTTCTCGGGTCCGCGTCCTTCCTCCCCTCATACTCCTAACCCTAGTACTCACTGGCTGGACATCGCAGCTCCGCGGATTCGGCCGCTATTATATCGATTGCGGTCCGCGCTAACTTCGTTTCTACCAAGTTAGGTTCCTATTCTAGCAATCGAGAGAGAAAGAGAGAGAAAGGGTAGAGAGAGGATGAGAGAGAGAGAGAGAGAGAGAGAGAGAGAGAGAGAGGATGAGAGAGGAGAGAGAGAGAGGATGAGAGAGGAGAGAGAGAGAGAGAGAAAAAGAGAGAGAGAGAGAGAGCCAGCACGGAGCAAGGCGGAGGACGAGAGGCAGAAGGAGAACTTTGGGATTCCGCCTAAGTGGATTGAAGTTCGTGGATATGGACCGGCCGCGGTAGGATGACGAGTTACGTGGCGGCAAATAATGTTTGCACTGCTTTTCGACTCAATCGATGGTAACTGACTAACGCTCGATTGGTCTCTGATAGACATCGAGTGTCGGCGAGGATGAGTCGAGGAGTGCTCGAAAGTGCGGTCAATAGGTTGTCGTTCATAGAAATTATTGTCCGCAGGAATGTCCGCGGCTTTATTTAAAGTAATATCAGCCGTTCGAGATTTTATCGTGTGAACGATTAAGATCCAAAAAGCGACGAAGATTAAAATACACGAGAGGTCATGTACGCCTCGATTCGTTGAAAATGGAAATAACATTATCCGTGAATCTTTATATCAGATATAAATAAATCTTCGATATTCCTAAAAATGTGGAAGAGACTTCTTCTTTGCTTCTAGTAGACCATGGCGCATTAACGAAAAGCATATATTGAATTGCTATCGCAAATATTATATTTGTCATGCTTCGATGAATACAAAATTTTCAAATCATTACACTCTCGTTAGAGACAGTGAATCAACAGTGAAAGTATTGACGACACATTATCGTTCGGTAACGTTTGAACTGCACGTTAATCGGATTGTCGGTTGACCTTACCTCAGAATGTGAAACTTTTATGGCTGTTCGGAATACGGGATTTGCTTAGCTTAGCTGTAGGTGGCAACACGGGTACGTACTCATGATCAGTAATCATATTAAGCGCGTGTACAGGGTAATCAGATTAGCGGAGCTGGAGGTAATCCCGAAACTATTCTAAGTATGATTAGGCGTCCTTCTCGCAGCGCAGTCCAGTACTAGTACCTGTACCCACTATTAAGATGACGATAATAGTTTGCCAACTACGCTAGCCTGCGAGGTTACCTGCCCTATGGGTTGCCTAATAATCCTTCTATGAGACTCTGATAACTTTACTACCCATCCTGGATCAACGACGCGTGGACTATGTTCATAATAGAAATGAAGTATCTATTGATTTGAAATATGATCATACAACATTTTCGAGAGCTATTCTAATCAATTGCTATTGTCACCCTTTATTTTGGAATAACTTCCCGTCAGAGAAACACATTTATTTTGAAAAATGTTTCTCATTTCCTAGGTATCGCTACCCAAACCATTTTAACTATACCAGTCAGTCACGTTACGAACAATCAAATGGTGAATTTGGCGCTCAGTAATGGACAAGTAGTTTCTACGACACTGGCGAATCTCCAATCTCTAGCTCAACCGCAAAATATGCTTAATACGCCTACGAGCAATGGTAAGTTCAATACTAATCTATTTATAAGATTTTCCTGTGCCATGTGTTCGATGTAACCATTTAATATAATATCGCTGCGCGTGTTCTTCGCCGAGATACTACCGTGTCTCCTGATCCATCTTTACGCGCGTCACGATATAAATATAATTCTACTTCTACGCGAAGCCATATAATACGTATATTTTAACTACACCTCGTTGATAAAATATTATTACGTACTCACCGTATAAGATTAAATTATATTATTTTTATCTCTTTCTTATAAAATTTAATAAAATATATTTACATGCATATCTGGCATGAATGATCTTTTGCATTTAAATCTATCGCGATATCAAATGTCGAATGTTTAATTCTTCAAGTACGAAATAATTCAGAGACGCGTTATATATAATTGGAAGCTAGCAGTAATAAGCATGGTATAAGTCAGTTTTTCTTTCTCATATGAATCTTAAGGTATATCAAATGATTTCAGAATATATAATTGGAGATGTAGAACTTTATAAAATATTCGCGTTTTTCCTTTTACGATATATATGTATATAATTTATTTGTAAACAATTATTTCATAGACAAATTAGAAATAGGAAATGTTGAATGCGTTTTATATATACATCACATTTAAGAATAATCGATCTTGAATCGATTTTGAAAAATCGATTCTTTTGCAATTGGAATGCGTTCCACTTGATGCTTGCAATGCTTTTGGAATCATTTCATCCTTGTTATTTATGAAATGTTAAACAAGAACAAATGATACTCGCAAGTGTGTGAGTGTCAAGTGTAACGCATAAAATAATTCCTAATTTATTAAAACATAATATTATGACTTTTATTACTATTGCAATGCAGCTAAATTGTGCATTGAATAATTAATTCATGATCAAATGTTAAACTTGTGTGCAGTTTCAGTACCGTTTCGTTCACGTAGATAGTTAAAAAAAAATAAATGTGTGATGTATAAAAAATAATTCCTATAAAAATCTTTCCTTTTCATTTTTATTCCTGCAGTTAATATTAGACGTTATTACATATTGTCAAACAAATGTATTCTACACAGTAATTGTTGACTTATTATTACAAGAAAGCTGAAATTTATTTACCACAACTAATACGATACATTGATCCAAAATCAAGCGATAAAAATTTGAGAGCGAAAATGCGGAAAGAAAAAAAAATGAATCCAAATATTCACAACGCATTCTGAGCGCAAAGAATCGATTCTTCAAATAATTAATTTAAAATTATCCATCCATAAGTCTACAGTACTTAAAATATTAAAATGCTTCTTTATTAAATAAAAGTTTTTCGCAATAAATTACATTATTTACAGTTATTAACATGCTTATATTAACATCAATTATTAACATCTAAAATACTTATTAACATCAAACATTAAATTATTTGTCAATTTAATATATGATATTACTACTCCAGTTTTATTCATGATTGAGTTTCAAGATCGAAAAAGATTCCAGCGCGCGATTTGCAGAATTGGATATGTATATAAATTCACTCTGGAATCTTTAAGAATTAAGAACTTCTTTAAGTTTATTTCTCTTAATTAAACATTTTTAGTTTTTTATGATAACACATTCGATCAAAATGTTTGTATATTTTTAGTTGTCATAATTGTTGTATTTACATCGCGATTAACCGAACATCGGATGTCGTACTATGCGTGTTTACTTGTCCTTTTATCAGTTCCCACGAGCCCCAGCCTGGCATCGGGATTAGGGCTGAACCCTGCCGCTTTGCCGCATCTTCTAAGCAATAGTTCGGCGAGCCAACAACTTCTGAGCGCGATGCAGCCACAGCAACTGCTTCAGGCTGCCCAGGCGGCACAAGCGCAAGCAGCGCAGGCTGTACAGGCCGTTCAGGCTTCTCAGCAACCGCTTTTAACGACATCGCCTCAACAGCACAGCCACCGACACACCTCGCATATAAATCATTACACAGTACGTACGACTCGCCCTTTCCAGCATCTTTCTTTCAAATATATGATAGATAGTATAAATTTGTCGGTAATATGAGAAATATTAATAAGCGATAGAAATATCTTAAGACTTAGAGTCGATGTTATCTTTCCCATAAAACTTGTAATAATTTAGCATTTAAAATAATTAGCTGTGTATAATTATGTAGCTGTTTTTTCAGATATAAAATTCTTCATGTCATGCTATCAACGAAATTGATGGACATATCATTGCTTGTTAAAATAGCAATGTTTTTCTTTTACAATAAGCTTCATATTTTCATGATATCACGTATATATAGTTGTATTGTTTTTCAAAACCGCATGCACGTTTCACGTTTTATCTCACTAGTGGCCGTACGATACGTGTTATTCACTTTCTCAATAATTTCAACTATAACCGTTAGTGTAGTTAACTTTCCATCAACGAATAACACTGCCATATGAATCATAGAGAATAAATACCTTCGCTGGCTCCTCTTTTCCATTTTTTTTTTCTAATGATGTAAACGAATTTCTATCGAATCGCGATGCACAGTCGAACGCGTGAAGTAAACTTACTGGCAAGATTAGCGAAACAACCAATATTTCCCATCACTGAGTGTTCTCGTTAAGAAAGTATTCCGTACTGGCGGCATTCTTTCCACTAATTAAACCTTAAAGTGTCCCGATTCGAGATTCCGTCTCATTATTAAGTGCATAATTGACGTGGCAGAGGAGCGCTCTCGTCCTGAGTGAGTACTAATCCGTCCCTGCTACCGCATTGTGTTCACAGCCGACGGAAAAACATCACAGGGACAGACCGGAGCAGTCGTCGCCACTGAATGAATCCGTGGTGTCCGCTGCATCCGCTTTGAACAGATTGGCTGCTAGCAACGGCGAGATTACTATCACGACGACGCACGGACCTGGCGGAGTCGGGGTAAAGGCTTCTCCGAGCAGTATGCACAGTCCAATAAAGGACGACGAAGATGATCTCTTGAACGATTCACCGAGTAAGATATACCATATACTCTATTTTCTTCTTCTTACTGTGATATTAACCTATGGGTCGAAAGTAGGAATGATCTGTGTCAATTGGTTTTGCGGTACTTGACAGAACGTTTAAAACGATGTCCACATCGCGCGCGCGTAAATGATAATCGAGCTACGCCTTCAGGGTAGCCGTGTTACTTCTTGACAGCTTTTAATTACAATTTTCGCTGGAGACACCATCTTCCTATAACGCAATCACTTGCTTATACGAAGCATATTCGCTAATGTCGACAAGCGATTGCATGCATAATGATCACTTTTAAAGAAGCAATTACCACATGCAAAAGCGCTCCTTATCTTTATCTTGCCAGGTTGTCACATTCTGACGATATTTTTGACAAGGTGTTAATCTTCCGGCCGCACGTAAGCGTATATGTCCCTGATAATTGAAGTACACGTTCAATTTTTTCTAATGATCGCGTAAACGGCCGCGTAAACAGCGTTTCTCCCTGGCAATATTCACGAAATGTTACTGTCGTCGCAGAAGGAACGATTTAATATTTAACGTGTATTTAAACCTTGATAATAACATTTCGAACTATAAGCATCGATCGTAGAATATTTGACGAGTGTAATAGGATATCGTATACTAGACTCATTATATAAATATACGGGGCATTAGTTCGTTCCTTACTGCCTTCTAGGAAGCCATAAAGATTCCAGCAGCGCGCGTAACCTCATGTTGGCTGACAATAATTTTAATAACTCACAATCATCGCGTAGACTGGCACTTCGTCATCCTGACGCGATGGAATAATCATTCGACGCGTGAAGCCTAACGATTCTCAATTGCTAGTGTCAGATGCGAGTATTATCTCATAAATATTTGCCTTTGTTAACTCTTCTCCGATAAAATTTCAGAAATAGAATTTCTCGCTAAAGGATATCAGGAAAGACATCGTAATTAGAATATATATATAAACAGTTTTCTAATTTTTCTATTATTTACTATTTTGTACAGTACGAGTAAAAACAATTAAACGATATATTTCAAACGTCGAGTTCTGATATTTATACACTTTCTTATTAGCTTTAATGATTATTAGTGATTATCTCTTACGTCTTATTTATTTTATTTATGCAATTTGTAATGCGTACAAAACTAAGAAACTAGTCCAATAACCATAATCATGGTCAAAGCCATGGTCATTTAACGCTGTAAACTGAACAGCGGTGAATACTTCGTTCATGATATTCTTATTCCTTTATTTATCGTGTCATGGCCGAGTCATATAACTTGCTCGCAGCTTTTTGTTTGAAGCGCGCAAAGTACTCAGTGCCTTGATCAGAAATTAACGATCGTAGAAACACCGTTGCGGAAGAAGGACTTGCAGTTTATTACGCGGCATAGAAACCAGGCGAACTGGTCGAGATTACGAAGTATATGTGGGCATTTCTATTGCGTTCGTATACATTCGGGGTGACAGATTTATGAGAGAAATCGGTGGTAGAGCTCGAGCTGCTTTAACGAAGCCGTCTGATGTCATTAGGCAGCCTTCTTACCACCGGAGCTCCGTTGCATTCCGATGAATCAATTGAAATGTGCTCTCGTATGACCGATAGTGAGTCACTGATCTGCTTAAAATGTGCCATAAATGTAGATGATTTGACACAGTGCAGGTAACTTGGGATAGCACATACTTTTGTTACATTTAATCGTGGTATCCATCCATGAGTCACTAAAAAAAGTTTAAATTAAAAATTTTCTTTAGTAGCTCTCATATGAATGGACATCACGACTAAATTTATCAAAATTATACGTTGTCACCTACATTTGTGGTATTAGAATTATTATAAAATTAATCACATGCGCGCAAAACTTACTTATCGTACAATCCTTGAACTACGAATATTTTATCTCATTCATGGCCAGGTATTGTTTCCGTAATTAGCTCGCAACGCGATTCATGTACCTACTGAAGAATTCATTGATTTTATTGTATTTTATAGAACAAGAAAGTGTCAAATGTCTTTCTTAAAATAAGCAAAGAAATTCAAAATAAGATTCGAAATACTCTAGTTCGAAGCTTTTAAACGCTTAGGTCACTGCTAATTCATTTAGAATTAAGCATGATATGGTACTAGATTTATCTTGCCAGGAAAAATTCTAATTCCGGTGATCTGTAATGATTTTTATACTTTTATTACCTAACCGTAATAAAAATAGACTGAATGGCAGAATAAAAGATGAAGAAGAAGAATAGAAATAAAGAATAGAATGAATTTTTATTACAGATCAACCAACGATCAATGAGGCCACTAATAACGTAGTCGATGGGATCAATTTGGATGAGATCAAGGAATTCGCCAAGGTCTTCAAGCTGCGCAGACTGTCTCTGGGTCTGACACAGACCCAAGTTGGTCAGGCTCTGAGCGTCACTGAGGGCCCCGCATACAGCCAAAGTGCCATATGCAGGTTAGTTATCGCTACATCGTCCTCCTCGCGTTCGTCGAAACAGACGTCGCTAATGAGAATTCAATAATATGGTAGAATGTAAAACGACAGTGTGCCAGGTCACTGGAAATGGCGTAGAAAGGGTTGAGATTTGTTCAGAGTAACAAAAACAGATAGTTATATCCGTGTTCGATGGCTATGTAACCGCATTTTCCGTTAGGAACGAACGCCCGAACGTAAAGCCAAGAGAATCTCGAAACAGTTTATGTTTTTATTTTTTCTCTTCTATACGCGGTATATTCGGCAAAATTATTTTTCACGCATTTTCCATTATTTAGTATTTGTCGCAACATTTTAAATTCAAAGAAGTCTAATATAGTTATCGCAAGTGTATTATTCAATTTTGAGGTGTATATAAATAATAAAACTTATTTATACCGTAATCCACCACGATGGTTCCTGATTTATACTGCAATTTAATCTAAATTGATTAAATTTACAAATTTAACACTGAACGTGTAATACTCGATACTTAAATTTTCGTGGTTGTAGGGTTACGTTACTTACCTTCTTCACCGTTTCCGATCGAGCGCGTCTACGAAATGCGAATAGGAACCACCGTGGAAATGCCGGTAGCAAGCAAAGAGAAAATATTTATATCTCTTAGAAAATTCTTATCGTATCAACTAACATAAGCATTGGTGATTGTTCCCCAGTGCCCTGGCTACCCAGATGTACGCTGCCTCGCAGATTGCCTCTCAGCAGCAAGCTACGTACGTTCACCCCTCCATGCTACTTAATTTACCTAAAAATCTAAAACTGTAAAATCCTTTAAGAAATCGCAGTTATACCCAATGGAAAACTGAGCACGAATTTTTCGACGATCTTGAAAAAGGAGGTTAAGAAAAAGTACGATTTAATTAATTCACCATGTTAAAATCAACGATGCATATCGTCTAAAATAAGACAGACGTCTTTCTCTCTACCTCTTCTTTATTTGCGTTCAACTGATTTGCGATCAGGCCTCTCCCGCTTAGAACTGGCAGGCATATTTGGGTATAGCTGCACAAGCACTCTCACTAATTTCTAATTCCGTTCGGAAAAGAGATGCGAAAGGAGCACTTCTAAAATTAACTCTCTTCGAGCCAGGGCATTGGCAAACTTGGGCATGATGTCGCCAACGCGCTAAGAATAAAAGAATAGAATGAAGCCGAGGATTTTTAACGTTTGCCGAGTTTAAGCTCCGGATTGTTTCACCGAGAGATTCGGGATTGGATTCATTTCGCTCGCTTACACAAGCAGTGTTTGCGCAGCGCGTTGGCAACATCATACACGGCATCACCAAACCTTAAAGCATGCACGCATTGTCAATGTCCTGTTATTGAATCAATGCATGCCTCTTAGTGCTCCTTTAGTGGGACAAAGACGTAAGGGCGAAAAGTAAATTAAATTTTCAGAGAAAATTTAAATGAAGTTTTGAATTTTTTCCAAATATCTGTTTTTAATATACGTATTACTCAATACATTACGTTAGAATTTCTCTTTTTACGTCCTTGTCGTCTTTTCTCGATACATTGTTCCCTTTATCAATTGTCCGAAAAATGAGAGCAAGAAAATGGACCAAGCCTTATTCTTGGCTTTAGATTCGAAAAGCTGGACATTACGCCGAAAAGCGCGCAGAAAATTAAGCCCGTTCTCGAGAGGTGGATGAAGGAGGCAGAAGAGAGGTGAGTAATACTCCTACAATATTTTAAGAATTATCGCGCGGAACAGATACCGTGAGAAAATGTTTTTCTTCAAAAAAGATCACCATATATTTATGACGGAAGAGTATCATAAATGCAACGTTCCTCTCGAGACGTGCCATATAAACACTCTATAATTAATATAAATAACAACTAGAATTCTCTAATTGAAGAGAGAGAGAGAGAGAGAGAGAGAGAGAGAGAGAGAGAGAGAGAGAGAGAGAGAGACTTTCTCGGTTGCAAGTCAAGTTTTAACGTTGTATTTCTGATACATGATTATTTCGCAATCGTCCAGCGCGGCCTCGACTTCGCGTCTGCGCGTCGCGTCGGTGCGAGAGCGTGCGAACGCGTGCGTGCTAATTGGTAATTCGCTAATTGAATCCACCTGATTAATTGCGGATCCGCATTTAATAAATATGTGGAATGTTAATTAGAATGGGAGAAACCGTTACCGCGCGATCGCGCGAGGCGGCTACTCGTTCGCGGCAGCAACGCAATGCGGTGGCTTTACTGTGACGCGAAAGATACTCCCTAAGCATCCCGAGCTATGTATCCACAAGGTGTAAATTTTACGAGACGATAAAATCTAATGAACTTTAGGCCGTGAGCTAATCAGGAATCCGTGTAGTCGTACTACGATTAAAACGCACTGCGATACGATTTTGACATCGAAGAGCGTTAAGGCATTCTTCACTCTTGTGCAGTCGTTTTTTAAAAATATGATTGGATATTAAATTTATCACAGTTAAATAGTATCTACATTATTATTATTATTGACTTATGTATTTCTTATTTCTATTTACCATTATCGCAATCTTCATGTTAATCCAAAGAGGTTAAATATTACTCAGTTCATATTCAGTTTTCCATTTAGATTAAATATGACTGTAATTTCTCTATAGAGTATCAAAGTATAAGAAACTATGCACGCAATTTTAACTGTCACATTCAGTGCTAAATATAAGAAATATGAATATATGGATATACACAGATCTGCAAGACGTGCTCTTGCCAAGTTTCTCTCGTGCCTATATTTACAATTGCGAGAATAAGTCAATTAGAAGAAGAAATACACGACTACATTAAACAGCAGCGTTTACTCGCACAAAAGCGAATGCTTGGCGATTGTTCGCAAATAAAATATCGCAACGCTTTCGGCCTATATATGAAAGAAAAATCGGCACAGCGAATAGAATAATCGAATCATTCGATGACGGAAGCGGTATGGGTACGGCCGTTTCTCTTTTCACGAGAGCAAGCCAGCAACAATGACCCATCCTGCATTCGCGCGGCGTAGAGCTAAGCGTCGACCGTGCGCCGGCCGCGTCCGGGAAAAATGAAAGCGGCTAGTTTATGCGGTGCACGTGCACGATTTATCTGCCGAGTAATTAAACTGTGGACTAATTAAAATCAGGTTTCTGATGTACCTCTCCCCCGGCGTCGCTCCTCCAACCTCTACCTACACGCCATCGCCGTCACCTCGCTCTTACCCGCAGCGGCATCGCGGAGAGGTGCGACTCTCTCTCTCTCTCTCTCTCTCTCTCTCTCTCTCTCTCTCTCTCTCTCTCTGTCATTCCTTCCGCTCACGCAGCCTCCATTCCACCACCTTCTTCCTTCTGTTTCCGTCTTTCTTCTTCCTTTCATGCTCGTTCAAGCTTCTCCGTGTCTCTCCCTCTCTCACACTTACACGCAACAACGACGTGTAACACCCACGCACGAGCTTACACGCAGCTTTCACGTTCCCTTGCGTATTAACTCACGTTTATTTCTCTTCTCTTTCTTCGCCTTCCTCTTCTACCCTTTCTTCTGCCTCGTGTTGTTTCTCCATTGCGTTCACCGGTCACCAGCGCATACCAACGACGTGGCATCCAAACCCCGTCGAATCGTCGCGTCGCGTCGCGTCGCATCGTGTCGCGTCGCGTCGGTTCTTCGCGCTCTCACCGACTTCTCCATTAGCATATTGTTTTCGCGAATTCGACGAAATATTACCGCGCGATGCTAATGGCCCGCCGTGTACTTTTTTCGACTCGACAGTTGGTCATTCGGAGTTAAATTAAAAACATAAATTTTGAGCCGGCACCACGACCGTACCTATGACCGTACCACCATCGAGCTCCCCGACCCCGCCACACCGTACTCACTTCTCATCGCTCACCCGGGAGTCCCAACGGAAGTTCTCCTGTTTACTGTCGCGGCCGCGAGCTTTTTCCATGTCGCGCCCCGCACCGCACCCACCCGATAATACTACCCGTCAAATGAAATTATGTCGACTGGTCGCCCGACGCCAAAAAAGTTTGCGTACTCTCGACTCGAGACTCTCGAGATCGGATCTTTTCTAATGTAAATTTCTTTTAAGTCGCGTTTGGACCAAATCGATATTAAGTTGAAATAATCGTCGCATCAGATGATATAACAGACACTGATTTTTCAATGATAAATTCATAGTTATTATAAATTAATATCTTGTCTTAATTTAATTAGAAAATGACTGAAAAATAATGAACGTCGATTTCATTATTCAATAATTAATGCAATTATTAAAAATTTGGTATTAATTTGCTCGATTCTATTCTCTGTTCTCCGATAAAGATAACAAACTTAAACAAACAGATGCAGAAATTTATTCATATTGGCGAATAATTCTTATAAGAATATCTAATTTAATTATATAAAGAACCGTTCATGATTATAATATCCTTAATAATTGTATGTAGAAATTACGATAATAAAATTGATAATATTGTAATAAAAATGTATGGAAAAATCAGAGCACTCGGTTGTATCTGCTTAATATTTAAGAATTGTGGAAACGGAAGATGTCTCTGTGAGATTGCGCGAGATTTGATGAGCTTGGACGACAAATGAATTGAAGATTCGAGTTTAAAAGCGCCGCGGCTATTCGATCGCTAATTTTATTTGAGTCGACATCGACACCATCGCTGCCGCCACCGCGAGTTCTGTTTCGCGATACGTGGAGTAAGTTCGACTCGTGAATCAACCCGAGTGTGTACTCGGGGAAAAATCCAATACCGGACGGGATATTTGCGACCGAACGTGTCCGAGCACGAATATCGTGACGCCGGTGATTTCCTTTTTTAATCAGTATCCTATTTCGCGCTAACGTAATTACGAACGTGCAAAACAGTAAACAGAATTATTTTTTTTTTCATATTGGATTTATAACAATATTTCGTAAACCACAGGAGAAATTTTGAGCTCTATGTAGACTCATGGACGTAATTAATTATTGTAAAAATATGGTGATTAACCAGTCAGATTTTTCACGAGATCCTATTTCGCAATTCATAATTGTAACAAGTAGGAATGTATAATATATTTTTTTAATAAAAGTTTAATACGCGGCAGTAATGTTAACGATAAACGCCAATGATAAAATCTTCCGAATTTGAGCAAGAGTAGTGCATCTGATTCCAGGTACAAGAGCGGTGTTAATCATCTGACGGACTTCATCGGGGTTGAACCGAGCAAGAAGCGAAAACGGCGGACTTCCTTCACGCCTCAGGCTTTGGAATTGCTGAACGCACATTTTGACAGGAATACTCATCCTACTGGTTAGTTATGCTTTACGTTTATCTGCTTTGATTAAGCTATTAGAAGAATTTTATTAGTTCTTCGGAACAATTTTGCGCACTTTAATACATTGAAAGTTTCTATTCTCTTTTTTTACAGGTAACGAAATCACGACTTTAGCGCATCGATTAGGATACGATAGGGAGGTGATAAGAATCTGGTTTTGCAACAAGAGACAAGCTCTGAAGAATACGGTACGGATGATGTCGAAAGGCGTTGTATAGGGAAGGATTACATCTACCGATCAATCGGGCAATATATGAGAAAAGCTTCAAACTACGAACGATGAAGAACACGTTTCGTAAAATTTTCCAATATCGCGTTTTCCTCTAGCATAAATAAACAGTTCTAACGCGAGAACAACTTTCCGTAGTTACGGAAAGTTAGAAGTAAGAAAAAAAAAAAACGTTTATTAAAGAAAGCCACATTTATCAAATTCGCTCCAGTACGGAAAGATCGTTCTAGATCGAAGCGAAGTCCTTCGAATATTGTGATCGCAGGTGTATACGACATCTATATATGTAAATAGCTTTAATCTACGAATATGTGATGTATACATGAGTCGAATATCGAAAATTGATAATCTGAAATCGTTGTCTCTCATTTGGTACCAATCCGTCGCGCGCTTCCAATTTTCATAGATATATATTCACCGGAAAACACTAACTGATCCAGTTTCGAATCTCGAACAGACTATCGGCAATTGGTAAGCATTAACAAACCGATGAACGTAAATGTCTCGATGATCAAAATTACATGAACAGTTTGTCGCAAACAACTGTAGAAAAATCGCTTCTAGGCTTTTCTAATTAATTACAGTTGCTTGATTGCAATATTTATCGGGACATGTACGTTTTTTGGAATATAATCTATCAAAACCGGGCGGAAAGATATGTAAATCCTCGCACGAATAATAATTAATAAAAATTTAGCTACCTTTAAAGTGGTTACTTACAAGAATGTTAGTACATAAGCGGCGAACGTTTAAACAACTACGTACACTTGATTCCTAATTAACTGGCGGAACAATCGAAAATGCACTCAAAAGGGAAACTTTAGAAGGATGGTGATCATCCGCGTGCAACAAAAATTATGACTGTATCCTGCGATCGAGGGATTCTGAGATATCATTGTCGCTCGTTGATTGCGCAAATAAAATATCGCTTAAAAAACAAATACGAAGTAAAATCATCATCTCTATTGATTATATAATATCATCCCTCTTGCATATATATATATATATATATATATATGAATATATATATGTATATATACATTGTTATAACAAGCACAATAATATTTCTGTTATAACTTCGGTAACAGATGTAGTCAAGAGTTTTTGATGCGCGTGAGATCTGTAATTTACAAGTGTATTTAGAAATCAATGAAATTCCTTTAGTGACTAAATAATGCAATAACGTCTTTGAAAGTATGCTATAAACGATTATATACCACATGCCGCTCCTGAAGTTATATTTAATCCTGTAGGAAAAGAGAGAGAGTGAAAGAGAGAAAGAGAGAGAGAGAGAGAGAGAGAGAAAGAGATACAGTTAGGGACAAACAAGATTCGAGTATCTGCAAGACTAGTCCGTGATATCTGCCATGTAAGACGTATACGTGTTAAATGAGCACGCATCCTCCGTTCCTATACATATATGCGATCCGCTTATTCGCTGAATAAACGATAAAGCTCGGACGAAAACTTCGATTTTATCAGAGCTTGATTTCGATCTGCGGGATATTCGAACAAACATAATTCTTCGATTGCGAAATACGTTTCTGTATCGTTTCTTTCTTTCAATTTCGCATTTATAATTGCGCAAAAAAAAAAATAGGAAAGCTACATATGTAAAAAGGTACTCGAATAATTCTTTTCAAATATGCGTACAATGAAAAATATTATTGTGATTTTAAAATCGAAGAATTATTACGCATTATTGTGTCTCTTTTAACAAAAAAAAAATCATAATAATACAAATACGTGGCCATGTAAAGTCGCCTTACACATCATAGCGATTCTTAAACATTCGATTTGTAATTCGTTGACGTAATCATTTAAGCAACAAGTGATCGACAACCCGCAATCGTTTTCACGCATAAAAGGATATTTAAACGAAGTTCTTAAAATACGGTTTTCTTAATACTTAGCAGACGCGTTTAATGAGTAAGAACTGTGCATAAAATGTACTTCATCCTCTTTATAATGAGCTATTCATTACGATAATATTGTGAAATCTCTAACTTGACGAGTAGCTAGGGGCGCAAGGGTAGCATGTACATATTACGATATATACCTAGACATTGTAATATTATAATTAACTTTTATTATCATAGCTATAAAATAGCTGAATTCATGCAAAGAAGATTTACATGGTTAAAAAAATAATAAATTTCTAAAAATAAATAATATTTTAAGATTTTAATTTTAAGCCTAAGACGAGCAAAGTGATCTGTTCCTAAAATGTATTATATAAATAAAAGAGAGTATGAAAGGCGCGAAGGAAATGGCGTGAGAGGAAAAAAGATATACGACGGGGTAAAACGCAAAATTCAAAATTTTTTATTAAGGGGTGGGATGTGTATGTTATCCTTTTTGATAAAAGAGCGAAAATGTTTGTACAGAAATATTCCGGTTATTAAATTTTGTTATATGAGTGAGAAAGGAAGAGAAAGAGAGAGAAAGAGAAAAAGAGAAAGCGAGAGAGAAAAAGAAGAGCGTCGAAAGAACCGCGGTAGTGATAAAAATAAAAAACGCGAAGACGGTTTAAGAATTATGTGTATTTTCTTCGTGAAATTGAAATATTCAAATAGATCCTTACGAAAAAATATAAACATGAGTATTACAAAAAAATGTGAATTGTATTCGTGAGTGTCATATTAAGGAAGATAGATCCACGGGCGAATGTTTTATAGCAGTTTCCAGCAGTATTGCTCGTCTTGTCTGATAATTTTGGTAAATTAAAAATAGATTAAACAAGAGAGAGAGAGAACGGGTAGATATTTCATAACGGAGTAATAAAGAAGAAATGAATACCCCCTTAAAAAGAGCCACGTCGAGACACGAAATATAAAGTCACAAATCAATAAGAGGAAACTGCTCATGAAACATTGCCCAGCGAAACCAAAGTTCCTACTACGTTTTATAAAGTATATAACTGAACTGCAGAACTTGAATTGTAAATACGATAAATGCAAAGTTAAGCTAATAATCACGATACAATCAGCAATTTAACGATGCTAAATTACAATTCGCCGATCAATTGATTCTATATTGCCACTATTGGAAAACGTCGGTCAACTATGGGAAAATCACACAACTCGGTAATCTGCCTTCGTCCGAAGGCAGGAATCAATTGATCTCGGTAACGAAATAAGCACAGTCGGCAATTAAGCACATAAGTATACAACTAAACTAAGCAGCCGTAGCTTTAGCTTGAATGTTAGCACCTAGGCACATGATGTAACATTAAATTACGTATTTAAAATGAAGGACAAGAAGAATCTTAGCCGTTAAGCGAATACCTGTGTAAAATTTAGTAGGTGTCCACAAAAATAAAATAAAAACATATATTGTGGTACAAATAACAAAAAGTTGTATCTATGATTCTTCGCGATTAAGAATCATTTCATTTTCAGATGAGTTATATTGTATGCATGTTGTTTGTAATTCTATAATTGCATATAACTTAATTATCGGTTCTTAACTATTAAACTTTTTCTTAAATTTCGTCTTCTTGACAATATTTAAAAGAATACATTGTTCTTATTTTAATAATTTCTAGTATATAGTACATTTAGTAGACTTACAATTTATCTCTTATTATATATATTTTAAAGACAGGATATTATAAATAATGATTGAAAAGCATTTTTTAGAAACTGAATTTTTAGAAATTTTTAAAAAATATATTTTTTGTTAGGTTTTTTCATTTTTGGCACCTTTTTATAGTAACATAAAAAAAATAAACATTAGGATAGTTTTTTACAATTCCATCAACTGGAAAAGACGATATCTACTATTACACTTTTATATTTTATCGATTGATGTCTCTATCATTCATTAATTCTAAATCAGGCTTGTTCTCAGAAACAGCTCTGTCTGCTCGAATGCCTAACCACTCGATAACACCGTAACCACCCATTCCAACGCACAGTATTCCGATTAAAAGATACAACTTCATATAAGTGCACAGATATGGGCTATACACATATGTTATCACTGAACCAGTGGATTCCCACAAGCGGAAATTTGAGAAAGCTGCCTCTTCTCGACCAGGAAACAATATACCACTTAATGCTGAAAATCGTAAAATTGTTAACTGTTACATATTATAAAAAATATACATTAACAGTTTCTTTATAAAGACGCACACAAAAATAAAACTGTTTCATACTATTAGCTGGTATAATACCATCTGTCGGTAAAATTTTACGTACAATAAGTAAACTAGGAAATTCAACTTAATGATTACCATACAATAAATTTACAATTATTAACAGCATGCGATATATAAATATTATATATAAAATTTTTGGTCTTATATTAAATTCTGCGATTTACTAATTTTTCTTACCATTGACTTGTACTAGCCAGATCGAATCGCATACACCCCATAAACCCGACAGCAGAAAGAAGATACTACCCTGTTCTGGTGTCGGTTTCCATTGTAACATGTAAACGAAAAGACTTAAGTGCAAACAAAAAGCAAAAATCATCACAGGCTTTCTTCCAGTCAACTTTACGATGGCTCCCGTAGAAAGTGCAGCTATAGCGTTCGTGATACCGAAACATATCATCACATAGCCAATATTACTAATCCCCCAAGCACAGGAAACGAACGACTGTAACAAATGTAAAACATTGTTCTCTTATAATACAAATTCTTCTCTAGATACTAATTAAACACAAATTTTATTCTTTAAAAACTTCTGCAGTCTCATATGTAGCTCACTAACAGCGTTATAATCGGCAAATAAAAACGCTTGCTCGGCCCCAATAAACAACGTTATCGGCAATATTAAAAGTTGATTCTTTTCTTTCAGTAGTTTTAATGTCACGGCCAAGAGCTTGAATCCGGATGATCCTTTCACTAAGCGGGCTCTGTTCCTATCGTATCTATAAAATGGAAACTCCAGCGTCAAGAAATTTCTTATATTCAGTAAATACAACTAACTGTAATATAAGTGTTAGTTATAATTTTTCACTCTCAACAATATAACTGTAATATGGCACCATGTTACAATATATTGTTAAGTGAGAAATTATAACTAACGTTTATGCCACTATTAGTACTTATTGATGATATATATTATAAAACTGTTATTATACGAATATACGAATACAGTTTATCATTTAAATAAATAATATAAATATTTTATAATATCTCTGTATCTTTGACAATGGAATTATAAACACAAGATGTACCTGGATAAGGAATCAACGGCGCACGCAATGATTAAACAAGCTAATATCATGCAGCCTAAATAAATTCCAGAAATGAGGTATATTCGTTCTACTGGAGGTCGCTGCAAATTTGGATTTTCATTTTCCTCTGACACTCCACAGAAATTGGCCCCGCATATTTCAGCCACAACGCTGCTGTTTAGAGTGACGTTTGTGACAATCGTGTCGATTCCATATGAAAGAACTATAAGAGAAATATTAATAAAAATAAAAACAATTTAATCGATTACTAACAATAACGAAATTATTTCTACAAAAATATGCTTGCCACGAAATTTGCAGCATTAAAAAAATTATAGGTGACACGATTACAAGAATAGAAATGCTATCAATTATCATAACGATCATTCTTCTATTGAATAAGCATATTAAAATATATGTTTCATTAAAACAAAATATGGTCATTAGAATGCCAGACCAAACTCTAGTTACTGCGCAGCCAGTCTGTGTTCGCTGTTTCATAATCCCGTGATTCGCGGTAGTAGAAACTTAATTTCGTTTTCATCGGTGCTCGTGTTTTTATAGCTTAGCAGCGACGCATTCATACACGCTTCCGCAAAGATTGCGCGCACGGCAGGCGAAGTTTTTTTGCGTCACTTCATTCCGGTTCGTGATTTCATAGTCATTTACAATTTTATCTTAAACTAGAAGGTAATTAAACAATGTAGCAAAGATCGTTAATTTTCTCATTTCAAAAAAGCTGCTTGTTTTTCTTATATATTATTACAAACAATCTCATAAAATATATATTCTCAGACGTTTCGACTTTAATATAGTCTTCATCGATGTATGCTAAATTTGCAAAATAATTATGGGAAAGTCTTCAAACATTTACATATATTGTAGGCAATAAAATTCTTGTCTAGTTCGTTAGTATTCAGAACAGTAACTTTTATTTTACGCTATAAAGCTTCTCATAGTAATTATAGATTCATTCTTACGTCATCAAAATTAACATTTGCAAACGAAATGTTGTCCAAATCGAAAACCGGTACGAATAATATGTTAATAACAATTTTCTCAACACATTTAATCTCTAAAATATAAACTTGGTTGTCGCATATGTTCATAAGCCGTATATCTGTACAATGACCCACCTGCTGAAGATATAAGATTCCCCCACACCTGTGCCATTTGATAAAACATGAAAAAAAGACCGAAGAATCTTGTAACAAGGACGTCTGTGGCTATATCTGAAACGGTTGAATAAGCTTCTGCTACCACAGTTAAATAAGTACACTTTGCGCACCAAAGCGGTCCACCGCCTAATCCGACTAATAATCCAGCGGGAATCATAGTATAAAATTTAGGATAAAATTGCGAAGCTATAAAAGGCATATAAGCCAATATAGAAACCGACATCGTCCACTTGCATCCTAACCAGCTGGAACAAAATTACATAAAATATATATAAATTATACATTATCCTTCATATATCTTTTGATTAAATCTATTTAGATCCAAAATAATTCATTAAAAATCAATTAATTAATTAGGTTATTTAAAAAAAATATATCAAAGATGCATGTTCAAATAATTACAAAGACTGATATAATAAGAATAAGCAAACATCAACATATTAGACAGCATACTAAAGGCTTTATCTTATGTTGGGACTAGGAAGATGTCATATTACTGAATCCTCGTGCAGATACCCAGATATATTCATTTCACTCTTGTCTAATACCGGAACCCACAGGGGTTCCATGTAACGTAATTCCGGGCCAAGGTGAAAACGACAACGCGTAATAAAGTTTAGTGCCGTGGGATTGTGTGCAGAACTCTAGCTGTCTGTTAGTTCCTCATATATATAGGAAACACATCGAACATTTCCGGCGTCTACCATAATTGACGATATACATTTCCCACATACACACATAAACTTTCTATTCATTCTACCGCAATAACAAGTAACAGCAATCGGATTTGACAAGAGTTCTCCATTTAGCTGAGATACAAAATATCGTGGCAATCAGAGTAGTCGTTGAATACACTATTGTATCTAGTCATACATTGACTTTTGACTTACACGAAATTATACTAAATGGATGCAAATTAAAATGTATAAGCAAAATTAGTTTACCTTATGATTAAAGCGGGTAACAAAATGTTGCTGAAGAGCAGACTGCCATAAATCGCCGACAATGTGAATGTGCCTAGCGATTGATCTGCGTTGACAGAGCTCTGTAAGTTTGAGGCTCCCATGAAAGCAGTAAAATTCACCATGAAGGCGCAACTAATTACTAGAATGTTCTTCATAATTCGCCATCGTTCCGACGGTTCGAAATTCGGAGTCGGTACTTTCAGAAAATCTCCCGACATCTCGATTTTGTCAATCGTCATGATTCAGTCAATGTAGTTTAGTCAATGTGAACATTGATTTCCGTCAGATGTTCAACATCAATTTCATTGATAGATTCACTCGTAAAGATGAACTCCTTCAAAATAAAATTAAAATATAGAAATAGAATCATAAAACAAAAATATAGAAATAGTCATGAAAAATGACATAACTATTGCTAATATTCGCTTATTCATAGAAACAAAAGACGTAATTTGTATTTGAGATTTTAGCTTTAATTCATCTTTTTAACTGCAATGTACATTTTAAATCGACCGAATTAAAAGACCTCGTTATATCAGTCACAATTTCCATCGCGGAGGATATCGGCGAATGATTATGGACTGTAAAATTAAAATTGAAACTGAATATTCACATTTATTCTCATAATGGTCACCAGCCACGCGATTTGCGTAAAGCCAATAACGGTTTCAAGGTAATCAGTGAACGAGGAAACGGCATGTTGTGGTATCGAATATATGACGAATTAACATTGTTTTATACAGACAAATATTTCACTTGCACGCTCTTTGCTACTAATATTATGTCAGCTTTGATTTGTATAGTGCTTCATGTAGGAATTCAACAATGAAATCCGAGAGGAATTGCATAACTATTTTCTGTTTGGCGCAGCGACAAGATACACGGTTACCCCAGCATCAATAGACAATCTGTCCTTGGAAAGAGGTATCCTTGCTCCTTTCACGCACCTTAATCGCCTGATACAATTTCCATTCCGACTGTGCACGTCGCTTGGAATATGTAACACGCCGATCAGACTGGGACCCTGTCACTCGAAAATAGATGCACACGATGCAAAACAAGTTTATTGATAAAATATCGAGCAACATTACGCAATTTGATAAAAATCTACAATGTAGAAACAAAAGATTGTTGATTGCTATGTATACAACATTTATTAAATAAATTAATATATATGTATCGTATGTCACTACTATTGTACAATATTTTACTAGCGTATTTCGGAGATAAAGTAGAATAAAAAATACTAATATAAAAATGTCGAGAGACTCTACAATAGGTTTTTTAATTATAACAGTTTATTTAAAAATAACAGTAATATCGCATAGAATTCATGCAATAAAACTTTCGGTTTCACGAAGACTCAGGAACGATCTATAATTTCTTTTAATCTTAATATAAAGTTTATTTCTTATATGTACTTCTTATGTTAATTTTTTACACAATTTACGTAACACTTGTGTAACTAACTAATGACTGACTAACTAATCAACTGACTGCTTCGTCCTCGTACCTTCCTTTCAATTTTTATATTCACTAGTTGCGAGGGAGAGACACGCTTTGATAACCGTTTTATCGAGATTCTCTAAGATACAAGACAATTGCGTTGATCAGAAAGTATCGACTGTGCCAAATTATGGTTACATCTAACTGTGCTAAAGTTGCTTTATTGTTATAAATATTATTTTCCGGTCGATCATTGTCTTTTTGATGACAATATGTAACTTATTGAGATAATTTTTATTTTTCGCTTCTATTTAATATTCATGATATTACACAGCACGCGAATCAGTCTATTATTCATTAGCAATACGTTTCTGTACAACTACGGGCCTCAGCGCGCTAATTCTATGCGATATTATCGGTTATATTTGTTCAGTTATACTTCAAAAACTATTATGGCCTCGACATTCTAATATCAAAATTTTTACTCTATACTTACTTTCAGAATACGCCATTAGAATATTGTGACTCTGAGATCCTGTAATATGTATATATTTCGATACATAGTTAATTTTATTAAATCCATTATTATATGTACAAAAATAAAGTGCCTTATGTATGTTACAAATTAATTGAATATAGAATTTATTCAATGGATTTCTGCTTATTTTGCTTAAGACTTGAATATTGCAGTGTTGCACATGAATAATTATTTTACGATTAGATAAATACTCGATAATTGTTTTAAGAACAGGAAACGTGATGATAATGAGAGAACAAGGAAGTTAATGCATACTCAATTAAAATTCATAATATTTACATAACTCAGAGCTACATGGAATATTATATAGCAGTCATTCTTTTAGACATTCACTCATGAAAAACAAGTCACGTTTAATAAACACTGATTAGATCTCGTGCTAAGTGATGCTTAATGGCGCTGTAACAATCACCTTCGGTTGTACATGTAATTATCACGACGTTGACCCCGACTACTGCAGTGCTATATTAATTAAATAATAAGCGCGTAATCACCATTATAACGATATGTGGAATACCAATTATGAATTTGCTATATCGAAGAGTAATATCGAAAATGAGGACATCCTCGGTCCTCGCATATGCGTCCGTACCTATGTCGCGCAGTTCTATTAGCTTCTGGCACATCACTTGTCATTTTCACTCTACGGCCACCGTCGTGCATAACTATGTAACTCTATTTGATAGGGTTTACGGACAGCACTACGATGATGAAATATTTTACGCTTGACATAAAGCAGAAATATCAAGTGGTTAAATTGCGATCACTCTCATGGAAACTTAGCATTTTCTGTCAAAAGGTCCGTGCATAAAGTTGTGACAAATATAATTTATACATATTTTCTGCATACATCGGTTTTAAGCGTCGCCACACTGATCACTTTTTTTATCATAATTAAATTTGTATTGCAAGTTATTTCTTTAAAAAAATAATTATTTTTATTGTATATTAAAAATATTCTTTTTATATATATAATAACTTACTAGATAATACATAAACATGATTTTTTACAAGTAGCATGCAAAAGAAATTCGTAACGTAAAATAAATAATTTTCCCTCCCGTGTAAAACTTTATTGATTAATATAAGAAAACCCATTTTTTAAATACGCACATATTCCGAATTAATAAATATTTTAAAAATTCCATAAAATTAATTATGTCTTTATATATTTATATATACCGCTGATAAAACAAATTATAAATTATTTTTACATCTAATTATAATATTATTTAATATTAATCTACTTTAAATTCATCACACAAATATATGGATAAGAGATAATATATAATATATATATATATATATTAATGTTTAACTTTTAAAAACTATTTACTGTATAAATTTATATGTTGTACAAAAGATTTAATTAAAATGGCAACCCACGCACGTTTCCTCTCGTATCACAGCATTCATCCTAATAGTCGAGTATTACCTGTCTCGACCGAGGTTTTCCAATTCCGCGAAGTCGAGGATTTTTCTTGATTATCGGTACGTATCAACAACTTCGCGTACGTTTATTTAAGCACGGCGAATAAAACGATACTGAAGATAAATCGCGAATGAGCCAAATGATCAGATGGTTAAAGCTATTCCCCACTTACACCCACCTTCAGGTGGGTATGATACATAGGCGACTGAAACCTTGCGCTAGTAAGAATGGTGATGTTTATCGATCCTCTGCGTCGAAGTACGTGTCACGCCATCGTATCTTAATCGTAAAGCCTTTAAGCTATGTAATCACCTCGATTAAGCATGATCAACCATTATCCTTCGCGGTTACGGTCTTATTGATCTGTGCGTGTTCTACGGCGTGAGCTATCTAACAACGACTTAGATAATCTTGAAGCAGTGACATTTACATTTCCTGGTAACGAACAGAACGTCTCAACCAATAAAAGATTCTTGCCGCCCATATCATTCATGGATATCCATCAAGCATGACGCTGAAATGGAGATTGAAACTGTACGAAGAGAAAATACCGAGCGATATGATCAAACACTATAAATTGTACGAAGAATCAAATCAAAAAGTAAAATACATTCAAGCTATAGACGTGCAATTCCAGATTCTGCCATTGACATCGGGAGCATCAATCTGACCCAAATTAAATTTAATCGATGGGACATAATCCACTGCAACTGATTTGATGAAGTTGATTACGGCGATGCGCAATAGGCGACATTCTGATGGCAGATTTGACCAGAAACAGATGCACTGACTGCCCAAATGGCAATCATCATGTGAGCTGGAAATCATGCACGAGGGACATACAGAAATTATAGTAATTAATTACAACAGTGCCGCTGCACCGGACACGAACAGAATACCAATGGATATCAATTTCATCGTCCGATATAATTTCCCATCAATTTTCGTAGCAATCTGGATTAATGGAACTATCAAATTTTTTAATATAACCTCTCAGTAGGAATTTTTATAAAATGAAAATCTTTTTGACATTAGATAAGATATCGCAATTCGGCCAATAAAATTTTCTCACTCAAATGGAACAGAGATTTACGATGAGAAAGACTAACGAATTTCGCTCAACTATGTTCATCAATCGTTAGGATTAATCGTGGATCATTCTATCAAACTCAGAGAACCTGCTTCTCACGTGCAATTCTGTCAAAGGCCTGATATTTATTATTTGCTTTTAGTTATCAATAAAATGATAACTAATCGCTCATTATATATGAAGATAATTATGTATTAATAAAAGAGGATCATGTAATGTGTATAGGGGCTATAACTGTCTCTGAAAATACAGACTAATGTACCTGTTTAACAGCTATTTTTGTATTTATTGCATTGACAAATAGCACTTGTCAATAATTGTATTTACAAATTATTATCATAGCAAGTTGTGCGGTAATTAGTCGTAATTAATGTTCATACGTAAAATCCGCTTATGTACGTCGCGTCGTAAATCCATTGCACCGTATATTTACGCTACACTGAACAACATCCGTCGAAACTGTTTCAGAATATTCGACTGAAATGTCTGACACTGGACACCGAAATTGAAATAACAGAACAAATGTCTCGCGCAGTCAAAGTGTGGAAAGCTTTACAAAGAGTTTGTAAATAAAATATTCTTTTAAGCCACGTTTCGCAACGAACTTATCTGAAATCGTCAAAGTGTTCTATGAATTTTATTTCACGTTTATACATCACAATCATAAATGCAATTTCCACCTTCGACAAGATCAATTTTGCAATGAACTTTTATACGCTATAAATCGAAGGAG